TTTAAATTATTTATTATTTTTATTTGTTTTATTTAATATCTTAATACTGTTAATAACATTTTTTTGCTTTGTGTTAATGAAATTGACATTATACCTTTTCATTTGAAAATAATCTTTATCAACCTTTGTTTTTCTCTATCGACTAGAACGTTTCACCTATGGTATTGTCTATTGAAAAAAATAAAAGATTATTAAAAGTATTTTAACAAACAAAAAAAAACATTAAGACTATATCTTATTTTATTGTTCTTTCCCTTTACAAAAATTTCGTAAAACACAAAAACAAAATATTCCAAAAATAAAAAAAAACTAAATTTAAAAATAGAATACAAAAAAAGAAAAAAAGCAAATGATAAAAAAAATGAAAGAAAATTGACTACGTGGATTCTTAAAAAATAAAAAATGGGAAAGAAGAGGGAAAAAAAATAAAAATAGAAAACAAATCAAAAAGAAAATAAATTAACTGATAAGTCCATTTCAATGAAGAACAAAGAACAAGTCGTTATTGATGATATTTTTGAAAAGAACGATTTTGTTAAGTCATTGAAGTTAGCAAGTAGTCCAAGATTAGTAACTCCCCGAATCAAAACATCAAAACAAATAAAAGACCAAGAACAACAACGAGTATTAAATATTCAATTTGATGTTTGTTAAGATTGAGATTTAAAAAAAAGAGATGAGATTGATTGAATAATATAGGAATTTGACTCAGAAGAAACGGAACAATTAGATATTTTTCAGTTAAGAATATTTTTAGAATCAGGTCAATTTCCTATTTCATCGAACCAACATTTATACGTCAAAGAACAAAATTTAAGAGAGGTTTTAGGAAGTATGTTTCTTGATAAATCAAGTAGAATTTGTAGAAAAGAATTTGCAAAATTTTGTAATTATTTTGAACAAAAAAGAGATGAAATAGAAGTTTGTTCTTGTTTTAATAATTATTTTTATTTTATTCATTGTTAATAGTATAGTGGAATTCTGTTTCATTAATTAGTTTATTTTCACAAGCTGATAGTTCTAATGTACCAAATAAATTTAAAACATATCCAACTAATCATATTACCCGTTTTGATTTAATTCATAAACAAAGACTAAATAAAGAAAATGTCATTTTTGGAGTTTCAGTTATGGACAATTATCATACACTTATAATGAATCAATTTTATCAACAAACTACAACAATACAACTAGATGATAATATAGAATATATTACAGCAGAAGAAAAAATAAGAAAGAGCTCATTATTATTTGAACCAGGAAAATACAATAGAAGAGAAGAAATGCCTTGTCTTTTCGGTACATTATTTCGTGATTTAAATCCATCAGATTTAACTAAAAATGAAATTAATGATGATGTTATAAAAAATAAAAATATAATTTATGTGATTGATTTAAATAATGTAGTATGGGCGATTGGTTCAATTGATAACTTAATTCTTAATTTTGCTATTTATGATCAAAGTAAAAAGGAAAAAATATCAAGTAACTTTATTATTTCACCTAAACAAGCAGATGTTAATTTGTTAATGAATAATAATGTTGGTGAAACATGTGCAATATCATTAAATGAAAATCAAATTAAAAATGGGAAGTTATGGGCTGTATTAACCATTTATAAATTATTTGATGGAGAAAATATGGAAGAAATATTTGTAGCAGAAAAAGAATCAAGAAATACATTAAGAATTATTGAAAAAATGAGACAAGTAAATGTTATTCAAAAGTCAAAAGGAGTTCAATTTCTTCAATATATTGCAACAGGAGTAGTGGCATTAAACAATGATTTACTTGAAGATAGAAAATCATATTATAATTTAAAATTATATTATGATGAAAGTATTATTGATTTATGGCAATTTCTTGGAAATGTAGAAAATGGAAAGATTAAACCAATTAATGGTTCATGGGGATTTAAATTTGAACAATTAAGCCATTACACTAAAGCAAATTTAATTATTACTCAAGATGGAGTTGTTCAAAATGTTGATTCACAACCACCAGAAGCTAGTGAAAAAGAAAATGAAGAAGTTCCTTTATTACATGATCTTGTTATATTAAAAAACATTAACGAAATTTATCATGATTTTTATAATACTTTATTTATATCTCCTATTGAAGTTATAATTCCTAAAGATAAACGACCAAAAAATGGTGGAATTTGTTTAATGTTTCAGTTAAAAAGTAATGATGATTTAAATACAAATAGTATCATTAAATCATTTTTTCCAATGAATTCTATGTCACCAAATTTATTAGATAAAGTATATTCATCTGTTAATTATAATAAACAAACATTCTTTACTGATGAAATTAGAGTTCAATTACCATTTCCATTAAGAGAAAAATATCATCTTTTAATTACTGTTCTTTTCATTTCTTATGATGACTTTTCACAAAAACCAATGTATTATTCTGTTCTTCCATTATTTGCAAATGGAAATGTTGTTTCAAGTATGGTTTATTCTTTACCATTGTTAAAAGGAAATCTTACTGATGGATATTTAAATCAGTTACATCATGATGTAACAAAAATGAGTATTAATGTTAAGATAGATGTTCAATCTACTATTTATCCTAAAGAAAAAAATATTTATAGGTTTTTAAATGGAAAGATGGTTGGAGTAGAAAGAGCACTTGAATCTATTCCAGTCCAAGAGGCTATTCATTTCTTACCTTCAATTGTTAATTATTTTATTTTTTATACTAAAGAAAATTCATTAGGATTTTTTGCTTTATTTGATATCTTTGCAAAAATTGAAGGTACTGGTAAATCAGACTCTTCTAGATCAAAGTTATTACATGATTTTACTATTAATTTTACAATTGAAAATCAAGAAGAAAGTCTTGTTTCAAGACTTTTATGGCAATTTTTAATGAAAATTAAAGATGATATGGAAAAAGTGGAGAATGTAATGAAGTATTCTTGGATTTTATTTACCATTTTATTTAAAGGAATAGTGATGATGATTAATTCAGGTAAAAAGCTAGATTCTAAGAATTTGTCATATCTTTCTATTGGATGTCAAAAATTTTCAAGTTTAATAAGAAAGAAGATTGTATCTAATAATTACAAAGGGGTTTTTGAAGGAAATATTAATTTAGCTGAATTCATTTCAAGATTGATGGGTGTTATTGATAATGAACCAATTGCTTCTATTATTATTAAACATCTTATTACATTAGGGTCTTGTCTTGGGAGTGATGGTTTTACAAGATTAGATCGTACTAGTCCAGCGTTTGTTACTTTAGGAATTTGTAGAACACAATTTATTGCAACAATTGGAGTTTCAAAGAATTTTATTTTATTTAATAAACCACAGGCATTAGAAGTTACAACTATTGAAAATTTAGGAGATGAAATAACTCAAAAACATCTTATCATTACATATTTTATTAGAGAGCTTTTAAATATTTATACTAGAGAAGGACCTGTTGGAAAAATAGCTATTGATACATTATTTTTAATTTTACTTCGTTTAGATTTTGATGTCAAATATCAATCAAGAGAAGATAGAGTTTATATTGGAAATATCCTTTTTGGATTATTAATTTATTTATTAGATGAATTTGATAAAATTAAAGATGTGCATTATAATCAGTTTAGTGTAAGTGAAGAATCTATTAATGATATTAAAGTGATGTATCTTTGTATGTTCTTTGTTTTAAAGAATATTTCATATTCTACAATGAAGAGTTGGTTAGAAAAAGAAATTCCAACAAGAATAGAAATATTTCTTATTCATTTAAGAAGAGCGTTATTATTCTTTATTCATTTTCCTTGTTCAATCAATAATCCGATAGAAGAAATTAAAGATCTTATTCATACATTAAAACAATCATATTTTACACAAACAAATAATAGAAATACTGTAATGATTGAACCAATCAATTCTTTTGGTAAATCTATTTCTTCTAAACATAATAGACATTCTGGTGGATTAAACACAACTAAAATACCATCTTATGTTCAACAACCTATTGTAAAATCTAGAATAAATAAAGTAATGAATCTTGACAAATTAATTGAAGAATTAAGTTCTATTGTAATGGATTATGCTGAAGCTTTATTTGATCGATTTGAAAGTTCTTCAGATAATGGGCCATCATTAATTCGATTAGAAGAAATTGTTGCTACTACATTATTTCAAGTACGTCAAAGTGATGAATACACAAATAAATTAAAAGATTTTATTAGATTATTAATTCTTAGACATAAACATTTCTTATTTGAAGGAACTAGTCAATTTAGTGCAATTTTATTAAAGAATTTATTAAATCTTTGTAACTCATCTCAAGAATCTATTCGTAAGAATGCTTTAGATCTTGTTTATATAATGGTCAAATATAATTTTATATTCTCACAAAATATAAGTAGGTCAATGTCTGATTGTGCTGTATCATTATCTGAATTAAAGTACTCTAATATCACTCTCTTTAGAAACTTAATTGATTGTCTTCCTTCTTTAGCAAAAGAAGATTTTGAGACTTCTGTTAAACAAATTGATGAACTACGTCATAATTATTGGGAAGAAGGTCAAAAAAATATTAATTCTTTAATTCATCTTCAAAAAATTAATATTGGAGTAGAAGTTGGTGATTTAGATGTATTTCTCGTTTTTATGAATAATGTTCTTAATAGATTCATGAAAGTTATTGAATTAATTAAAGAATTCCATGCAACTCCAAATAACTTTTATGTAACTTTAAAAAGTGATATCATTAAAGAAATACAATCAGCAATGTTATTCTCTCAAGAAGATATTAATGCTTTAAATACCATTAAAATGAATATTGGAAAAGGTC